TAGGGTCCCTTATTTTGGGGACATTATAATAAGGATCCTACTATTTAGGGTACTATAGTAGGGTCCCTTATTTTGGGGACCTTATAATGAGGATCCTACTATTTAGGGTACTATAGTAGGGTCCCTTATTTTGGGGACCTTATAATAAGGATCCTAGTATTTAGGGTGCTATAGTAGGGTCCCTTATCTTGGGGACCTTATCATAAGGATCCTACTATTTAGGGTACTACAGTAGGGTCCCTTATTTTGGGGACGTTATAATAAGGATCCTACTATTTAGGGTACTATAGTTGGGTCCCTTATTTTGGGGACCTTATAATAAGGATCCTACTATTTAGGGTACTATAGTAGGGTCCCCTATTTTGGGAAACCCCCATGTGTCGAGGCCGGAGTCTCTTTATTCGGAGTTGCTCTCGCCTTTTGCTACCTCGTGCGCCGGAAGAAGTTCGGGTTTAGGGTTTAGGGTTTAGGGTTTAGGCTTGGAGGATCATGGGACTTAGTAACTAGGGTTACAAATAAGGTAACTATAATTAAAACCCCAATTAGGGTACTTATAACCTGACTTACTAAGTCCCATGATCCTCCAAGTAAACCCTAAACCCTAAACCCTAAAACCCTAAAGCCCTAAAGCCTTAAAACTTAAAACCCCTAAACCTTACTTACTAAGTCCCATGATCCTCCAAGAACAGTTCCGAGTTCAAAGAGGGTTCAGTACGCAGATGCAGAGGAGTCAAGGCCCAAAGCCCGGAAGGAGCAGAGAACATAGAGACTCCAATAAGGATCCCTATTAGGGTTTAGGATTTAGGGTTTAGGGTTTAGGATTTAGGGCTTAGGGTTTAGGGTTTAGGATTCCCAGAGACTCCAATACCCCTAAATTAAGAAATATACCTTAAATCTTATTAGGGATCCTATTATAATTTAAGGTATATTCCTTAATTAAGGGGTATTGGAGTCTCTGGGTTCCACACATGGAGGTATTGGCTGTGCCCATGCACGCGTCCAATGACGGGATGACATCTTCTCTTAGTGAGTCCGTGCGCAAGGCCATATTGCTCGCGTACTGTGTGGGTGGAAGGCATGCTTACCTTTTCGCTTGAAAAGTCGAGGGCAACCGCACAGCAGAGTTTAGACAGCTGCAGCCGTTATGGTTTGCTCAATAGCAAATTTCTTCAGGCACGTGAACACAGGCAGGGTAGCACCGCGAATACTTTGTATAGCTGTTTTGCGGGTTTGGTGATCGAAGCCGAAAGCCTTAACCCCAATTCCGTAGCCATTTTGGCTGAAGGCATTTTTGCAGGTAGTTAGGTCTCGCGAGGCAACCATGCTGCGGGCAAATGTCACCAAGACACGCTGTGGGTAGGAAAGTGAAGTAGGGAAAGTAGATGGGCTCATCATGGAGAATGTGGCATGATGCACAGAATAAACAAAAACACATGCTACTGTACTATC